TATAGGGAAATAGAGCATGCAGGGTTGTGTACCCGATCGGGTATAGAAGGCTCCCGATCGGATACACTCAGCGGCTTCCTAGAAGGTGAAAAATAGGGTCATACCCGATCGGGCCTGTCGGTCACCCGATCGAGTATGACAATCGAACATGGTCAAACTCTTTCCCGCATGTTGCTTGGTTCCCGGGTTGATCCGATTTGATTTTTCAGAAGGGTACCCAATCGGGTATAGGTCATACCCGATCGGGTACACACCAAAAACGAGATCTTCACTTTTTTGTCTTGCATTTTTGCACTTTCCTTCCATTTGTGATGTTCACCAATGGTCCCCAAAGTGTTTTTGGACCTGTTTGAGCTCAGAATAAACCTAATCTAAACAAATTACAAATATTTTACAAACTAAACTATTACACCAAAAGTGTGTAATTTCCAAAGTAACAATCATTCTAAACTAATTAAAAACACAAATTTAAACATGGAAATTACATGAATGTCAGTGCCACATAATCCTGTCATGTCATCATATATAACAATTATTTAATTACTATTTATACCTTTTTTATTACATTCTATTTTTTATTACATATTGATATGGAAACAAAAGACCGTCGCGTATGATAAAATCCACCTTATTTGGTAACTTTTTCAGAATCTACTACTTACTCCGTAGTAATATGGATTGTTATTAAAATAAGCAATTATTGCAACCACAACAATAAATAGTCATCCGTGCACATACTTTATTTAATTTAATTATTTTTATACTTTTATTTTTATTGCATTCTATTGAGAAGTGAATTATCCGTGTTTTGCGCACCTAACAAATAAATCATCCAAGTTCCTATCAATTTTGTTCTTCAAAGTTATTTTATAAATAAAGTAATAATAGTGTTCCATTTCCTAAAAAGTACGGAGTAATATTTTATTTTTCTAAACTCAATTTTTGAATGTTTTCTAAACTCAATGTGATAATGACTAAGGTTATCAGACTTATATTTGCAATTGTGTTAATACTTCGTATTTTTCTGCATCATCATACAATTCTTTCTTAATTGTTGAGATAATGATGAAAATTATAACCACAAGATTTTTTAACTTAAAAATGAAATTGATATATACTATTAAACATTCATATATGAAAACATTTAAAACTTCTGATCAAGTATCTTACCTTTATGAGGATGGAAATGGAAATTCATATCATACATATATGAATACGTTTAGCCCAACAAAACATTTAGTTGTTTCTTTATTTTTACAACTACAATTTAGATTTTCCTTCACTTTTGACATAGATTCCTAATCTAAATTAGGAAATCTTCATACATTTAGGGTGTTTTTATTTAATTGGACTGGTTTCAGTCTTAAACAAGATCGGATCAAATATCAATTATTATTATTATTATTATTATTATTATTATTATTATTATTATTATTATTATTATACATAAAATAGACATCTTCCCGACCAAGTTAGAAATGAACATGTCAATCTAATTAAAAATATCCTTATTAATGACATTTTCAATGTGACGAAATAAATGAGAAAATTGTAAAAATGATCCCTTTTTTACATTTCAATGTGACAAAATAATGAGTACAATGTAAGAGCTCACTAATAAATTTACAAATACTTATTTCATACCACATGTTGAATGAGAAATATTTAAAAATAGTTTTTTAGATGCTTAATGAAGTAATATAGAGGATGTGAAATTAATTAAGAAACTTTTGTATGAATTCTTTAAAATCGGGTTCATAACCATTATGTTTAGTTGAGATGCTTATGTAGAAGTCCAATTTAAATATTTTTCATATAAATTTGAATTAATTTTATTAATTACATATGATTTCTAAAATATCAAATATACAGTTAGCTAAATTATGTACTACCTGTGCATCGCACGGGCTTGAAAGCTAGTACTAATATGATGTCGAAATCAAGTAGTCGCATTACTCATATAATAACAAAATTGTGTTATACAGTAATTTTAATTTTAATCCAAAAAATCATTGTTCAAAAAGACGTGGGGCGTGGTAAGCAAGGGCGTAGACAGGGGGTGGCCAACCTTGGCCATGGCCCAGTCCAAATTTTAAAAATGTCTAAATTTTTAGGGTAAAAAATTTCGAGTAAATTTTTTTCCAAAAATATTCTTTGTACCGGCCCAGTCCGGCCTAGTGTCCTGGCTCCGCCCCTACTGGTAAGGCGTCGAAGTCAAGCCTTTTATAGTCTATGCGGGAATAGGCGAAGTGGCGAAACCTAGGCATGAAAAGGCGTTTTAGATTTCTATTTATATGAAAAAGAATAAATGTCCAAAATATATTATACTTTTGAGCATAGTTTTTACTTTATTCAATATAAATAATTTTTACTTTTGTTATTTAGCATCTGGTACATAAAGTTTGCCCCCTACTAATAACTCATAAGCATCAAAATATTTTTTAGTATTCACATTACCGATGAGATCTATTATCATTTTTTGAAGGAAAAATTCACAAGAATAATCCTAACTATTAGCATTCTTCCATTATTAATCCCACATATTTGTAATTCTAAAATAATCCAAAGTACACATGTGCCCTTCTCAAATTGATCCCAAGCTACCTGCAACCTATTGAACCGGTAAAAAACTAAAGAAAAAGCAAAAAAGAAAAGTTAAAAAAGGAATCTCATGACTGAAAGAACAGACGGTTCATCCGCTTCTTTCGTCTAGGACGGATGGCGAACAGAGCACATGGCACAGGCAGCAAGTAGGAAACTTTTCATCTAATGTCGCCCGCTCATTTTATTCGAATAGAAGTCCTACACACTTTTCGCTTTCCTCTTCACTCAACTCGAAATCCCCGATCGCTGGTGGCTCGATCAAAAGCTAGCGATGGTGAAACACCTTAAGTAGCTATCTCCCTTCTACCATCCATGACTGACGGATCTGGCTTTTTTCTTTTTGGGTATGCGTGGAAGAACTCTGGCTAACTCCCATTCTCCGGTTATTTCTCGTTTTAATTCGAAAGAAAAGAGGCCGACGGTAAGACGATGAGAGAGTTGTGGTCTTTTGCAGCCAATCGACTTCGATCACTTCAATTCCTACCCTTTCTGGATCCAAACTCCAAAGTAATAACCCGCCAGTAACAAAATGTCACGAAGGAGCACTGAAGCAGCCATGAAAAGAATAACACAAAGGAACAATGAAAGACGTAAAAAAAATAGGGCCAGCGAATACCCAGGGAAAAGCTATGGCGGATGGAGCAGGAGAAAAGAAAACACGCTGAAGAAAGAAAAAGGAATAAGAAAGAAAATAATAAGGAAAAACAAAAAATAGACCAATTAAAACATACCACCTGTCAAGTGACTTATTGAATAGGTTAAAGCGGGTCATGGGATTGTTGAGAGAAGATGACCCTGATAAGTTAGATTATATTTGAATTACTAGTATGTGGGATTAATAATGGAAGAACGTCGATAGTTCGGATTATTCATGTGAATTTTTCCTTTTTTGAAATGTATAAAAAGTACAAACACAAAATGATATTTTTTAATTTTTTACTACTCCATATCAGACCCTTACTCCGTCTAGGCAGGGACCAATAACATAGATCATCATGTCGATCGGCTTCCCCATCTTTGGCGGAAAGGCGTTCCACCTATTGACAAACAGAATATCACCCACCCGCACTAAGAAAAATCTATTAAGACCCGGGGTTCCATCCTAAAAGGTCAACCTGATAGGAGGAGTAGTCCAAATCCTTACATAGTGTTTTTATTGTTTTATAGCTTTCCAGTGTGGGACAAATACTTTAACACGCCCCCTCAGTCCGAATCGGGCTGGACAATATCGGGGTGTATAAATGGGCCAAACATACCCTTAACAAGCTACCCGTAATTATGGGTGCTAAATAAGCAGTCAAACCACAACCGGAATTGGCTCTGATACCATGTTAAGACCCGTGGTTCCATTCTAAAAGGTCAACCTTATAGGAGGAGTAGCCCAAAGCTTTATATAGTGTTTTTATTATTTTATAGTTTTCCGGTGTGGGACAAATACTCTTACGAAATCTACCCTATCATGGCTTACTGGAGGACTTATTATGCTTCAAGAGGATTTTCATGGTCCGGGAGCTCACAGTGAGATAACCTTGTGTATATTGGGGGAGATTTGAAAAAGCTTGGAGTATTTGTCATCGGTTTTATTTTTTATGGTCTTACTTTCACGTTAAGTTTGTTTATGTTGCTCTATTTTATGTCGATGTCTTTAGTTTATGTCTACAATAAGGAATGACAATTCTGCTAGATATTATGTCGTTAAAAGGATCTATATGGCCAGTGATTGCTCTGTCAAACCCGCTTGGTGGTTAGCGATTCGTATTGCTCTTTCAGGAGTGATCGTCTCTGAGTCTAGCCGTAGGGTTGATAGTGCTAATTGGTTAGGGATAGTTGTTGTCAGGGTTGGTCTTTGTGAGTTTGTTGTAAAGAACCAAATCTTAACGATATTAATATAAGCGATTTGTTTTGATTCTATAAAAAAAAATAAGAATGATTTAACTTTAACTCCCATTAATTATATGTTTTGCGCACTTGAAAATATTTCACGCCGATGCGACCGCTATACGCATTGCAGCGGCCACAACGGCCGCTACCGAGATAACCGCTGCCGCTATTTAAAATCCTTGGTTAGGAATGCCCTTTCAATGTACAAGATGGATTAACTTGAGAGAATTCCCTAAATATGAGTAAAAACGTTTTGAAATTCCAAAATAGGAGTATCATGTTTTTTATTCCTTGAATAGGAGTAATCTGCCAAGTTTGGAAGAAAATGTCATGTTTAAAAGCCTTGTAATACCAAACTTGGCAGAAATTTACTCCTATTCAGGGAATAAAAAACATGATACTATTATTTTGGAATTTCAAAACGTTTTTACTCTTATTTAGGTCAATTTTTGATTAACTTTCATCTTAAAGCCAAAAAACACGTACCAATATATGGCAACATTTTTGCAATGCTATAACAAAAAACATCTTGGGTTATTATAACATAAATAACATCTTACACTAATAACATAGTTCTAAATAATGCATACTCCATATTTTACACTACATACTAAATACTGGAATACTTCACAGGGTATGTGTAACAAAGCACATACCAACAGAATTATACATATATATTAATAAATTAATATAATATATATATATATGTCTAAGGTGAAATTAATTATACATATTTAAGTTGATTATTAAATATTAAGCAGCAGAATTTGATGATGATTCTTGTAGTTGTGATTTGCCTTTGAGACCCTTTGACCTCATGTAAAGTCGGTATTCAGCGTAGGTCATCGGCGGATACAATGCTGGATTTTCCGGTGTCACTATTTCCTCCACCGGTTTTATCACCAAATCGCTTTTGGGATTGTAAAAATAGGCCAAAGATACACGTTCTTCCTCAGAATTCACAATCACTCTATGCTCAACACTTTTATAAATAGCATTACTCAAAACCTGCATTATATTCACCCAATAAATAATTAATAATAATTATGCATTTTGCATAAGGTAGAATGAATTTGGTGTAGTATATAGCGGTCGTGCGTTTAAAATTTGGTGACAACTGCTGTACCTTTTTTAAAAACGGGGTACCGCACTTACCATTCATTTGATTGGACCACATCAATTTATCATATTAATTTAGATTTAAATAATTCAACTGTTACATTCTCAGTGGTTCATGTGGACAAAGGTATGATACCTTATGGGTACCATAGAATCTACCTTAAAATTTATAGAACATAGACTACATATATAGGGAGTGTTTGCAATTGCTTCAACTTTAAAAAAGTGATTTTTTAAAGTGATTTTGGGAAAAGTGATTAATAGTAAAAGTTGGTAGTGTTTGAGAAAAAAGTGATTCTAAAAAAGTAAAAGTTGGTAGTGTTTGGTAAAATAAGTGCTTTTTGTGTAATAGAAAAAGTGAAAAATAGTTTAAAGCACTCTTCTACCTGCTTCCAGCTTTTAGCTTTTAAGCGATTAATTTAAGCAGAAGCTGTCATTTGAAAACACTCTTTTCAACTTTTTTTAAGCCAAAAGCTGAAAAGTGCCTTTTTTAAACAACTGCAAACACTCCCATAGTGTTTCGGAACAAGCGAGACAATAGAAAAAAGCTCGGACGAAAATCAACTAGCTAGCTAAAAATGATAAAGGAGGTTTTGTGATTATTTCTTTTTACTTTTAAGTTATTTTTTAAAATTGTTTTAGAGAAGTTGTTTACTCCCTCCGTCCTATTAAGATTGTCTCATTTTACCTTTTTGGTCCGTCCCACTGAGATTGTTCCATACTAAATTTGATAAAGTTTGTGTAGATCTAAGTCATTCTTACTTTATTTTTACTTTAACAGTTCAATATTAACCACATAAACCACTTTTTATTGGTTTACGTGTCACCAGGGGCGGAACCTCCATAGTGCCCGGAGGTGCCCGTGCCCCTGCAATGATTTTTCTTTTTTACAATATATGTATATATATTAATATTTAATTAGTTGAGCCCCTGCAGCCCAATCCCAAAAGCCCTTTATCTTAGCCCTTTCCTTGTGCCAGCTCAATCCCAAAAACCCTTCCCAGGGGCAGCCCGCAGCCCAACTCCCCAAAAGCCAAAAGGCCAAGACAGCAAGACCCCAAGTCCCAAGTCAAGCCCCTGCCCCTGCATTCATGCTACAGCAGCGAGCCAGGGAGTAGGAACTACCGAACTAGGAATAACAAATTAGCAATTAGCGACGGAGATTGAAAGAGCATCTCACTGAGGCAGCGACGGAGATTGAAAGAGCATCTCACTGAGGCAGCGACGGACGACCGGAGTCACCTGTTCACTGACGGAGCCCGGACGAAGGACGCCACTGTCTCTAGATTCCTGGACGGCTGGACTCCTGGTAAGCCTTTTAATGCCTTAACCTAATTTTTTTTCTGTTAATTTCATTTAAAATTGTTTATTTGTTGAATTGTACTCGTATTTGTTTAATTCAAATAAAATGTTAATTGTTGTATATTTTTATTTGTTAAATTCAAATGCAGTGTTGAAGTTTTTGGCAATTATGTTGTGATAATCTCATTAAAATGTTAATTATATTGTAAATTTATAATTGTGTATTTATTGATTTAGTTAATGTTGTTAATTTGTTATAATGTAATTTATACAATTATACTCATATTATTTCAATTGTAATTGGTCTAGGTTGTTTGACAAACAATCGCTATGTTACGATATTATACATCGGAACCTAAACGACCGAGCATTGGTGGTTTTTCATCGAATAATTTAGTTTCTCCAACAGATAATGACATTGTTGGTGATCCTGGATTGCGTACGCCGATTGACACTTTTGATGTTAATATTAGAGACAAAGATTTCAGAGTATGGCACCTCGAAGACAAAGATTTCCGTCTCTCAATTATTCTCCTTCATTTGATGCATCAGATTCTAATCAAAATCAAGGTACTTTGTAATTAGTTGTTTTATTTAAATTTTATAGTTTTGTGTATTATTATATTCGTGATGTATATGGTTTCTTTGTTAATGTGCCCCTGCAAGTCACAAGTCCTGGTTCCGCCACTACGTGTCACTCCATCTTGTTCCAATGTTAGTGGCATGGAGAGAGAGTATTATGTAGTACAAAGTAAGGATGTTTTCTTTTGGACTAAAATTTGGTGGTCTGGTCTGGTCTGGTCTGATCTGGACTGGTCTAGTCTGGTCTGAACTAGTCTGGTAAACGTCTGGTCTCTGTGTATTTTACAACTACGGAAGTCAAGTCTGGTCTGGTCTGGTCTGGGACTAAAAACAGTCCAGAAGAAAACATCCTAAATAAAAGTCAGTAGTGTTTGAGAAACAAAATGTTTTTAAAACTATAAAAGTTGATATTGTTTGATAAAAAATGTTCTTGTGAACGTAATAGAAAGAGTGAAAGTAGTTTAGAGTATTCATCCACTTGTTTTTAATTTTTAGCTTTTAAATATTTAATTTAAGTAAAAAATGTCATTCAAAAGCACTTATTTCAACATCTTTAAACTAAAAAGGTCAAAAGGCCAAAAGAGAAGTTTTCAAAAATATTACTAAAATGAAAATGATATACACAAATATGACTAATATTTACTACTCCCTCTGTCTCTAATTGTTCTTCCAATTACGGTTTACGAAGTTTGACTAGCGATAAAATTAAATGATCCCTATGAAAACTTAGATTATTTATAAAAAATACATATTCAGAAATTATATTAAATCTGTTACAAAAACCTGCAAAAAAAATAATATTAACGTACGTTTAGTATCTTTCAATTTCCCCACTACGTATCGAGAAATTTTAAGAAGCACGTCACGTGCTCATTAGAGAGCACGTAGCTCACTTAACGGGAGATTAATCTACGCGCGAGGTACGGAGTAGGATAAAAAATTCAACCGTATAATAACGTTTCTAATTTACATCTAGTAACTAACGGTTTACATCTAATTATTTTAGGCCATGTGGCCTTTTTGCTAATTTTTTCATAAACAGTAGTATAAATTAGAACAAATTAGTTTAGTCTAATTCCAGTTTTTTTACTTTATTAATTACCGTGTCGTTATTACTTGACTAAGTTTTAGAGACGGGGAAAATATTTAATAATTTATATCGTAAATATATCATAATTTGCATAATATATATGCACACAATTTGGAATTAATCGTATTCCCTCTGTATTTTAAGGTTTGTTACACTTTTCCATTTGAATACATTTAAAAGTTTGCAACACTTTCTTCTTTTGGTAAGTTTTTTCCTTTAAAAATACTCAATTACTTTTACTTTTTTCTATATTTTATCTTCTCTTTTATACTTTTCCACTCTCTAATACTTTTTCTATACTATTCATTATCCCTACTATTTCATCCTTAAATAATATGTTCAAACCTAGTGGACTTTTAAATACAGAAGAAGTATATTTTTTTAAAATTCATATTAAAAATCTTAAAATGACTCAAATAGAATTATTTTTGTGATTGGACCATGTATACTCTCAAAGGGCTGGAGCACCGGTGCCCCCCAGATCGCTGGACCTTCGTCGTCAGACCATTGCTGGATGTTTTCCATAATTTGTTCGTCGACCTATTGGAATTTCACCGCTGCCGCTAGAGATCAATGTTTCCGTCGGAGTTTACTGCTACCATCATGGATTGATCTGGCACTGACAGACAATTAAGTATTTCGATCTAAGCATACACCTAAGGGTCTATTCTTGTCACATGTTAAATATATATCGGATCTGTTATGCCATTTCCATCTTCATACTGTCAAACTTGTTCGTATTCCCCTACCTTCAAGCACCACACTCTCTCTTACAGATGGAAAACTTTTATCTAACACTATTGAGTATCGCAATATGGTAGATGCTCTTCACTATTTAACTATTATTATACCTGGTATTACTTATGTTGTACACCTTGTGTCTCAGTTTATGCATGCTCCACGTACTACTCACCTTTTGGCTGTTAAAAGGACTTACAGGTATCCGCAGGGCACGAGTACGCATGCCTTGTGGTTACGGGCTAACAAAAATAAACTATGAAATACACTATCGTGACTTTTGTCTAGTTACTAATACATAGTGATCAATCATATTTTTATCCAAAAAATATAAGTAATCACAATAAAATATAAGTTTGGTCGGATCATGATTTTGATTAGTATAATATTAGGGTTTTTACAAAAATATTACTAAAATAAAACTTATTTACATAAATATGACTATTCATTACTACAACGTAGTGTTATGGTAACTTAAGTTCAAAACTTCAACATGAATTACTATGATTTCATTATTATTTTAGTAACTAGTTTTTTAAGCTATTTTCATTTTGGTCATATTTATGTAATTATTTCAAAATATTATGCAAGTTACAAATTTTATACTTTTCCAAATGTTTTTTAACTAAAAAACATTTTTACATAATTTATATATTATAAATAATTTTAATAAAAATATAGTTAGAGCAAAGTAGTATATTTTAATACAGAAATTGTCCTAAAAATGTTTTGAAATTCTAAAATAGGAGTATCATGTTTTTTATTCCCTGAATAGGAGTAATCTGCCAAGTTTGAAAAATAAAATGTCATGTTTAAAAGCCTTGTAATACCAAACTTGGCAAAAATTTATGATACTCATATTTTGAAATTTTAAAACATTTTTACTCCTATTTAAGGAATTCTCTCATTTTAATATTATGAAGAGCAATTTGTCCATATAATACTCCAAGATCTTAATAACTACGGAGTATGTGGCAGACACTAAATAAAAGTAATAAATCGTTCAGCGTAGCGTGGCATACGTGCTCACTAAAGAGCCCGTAACATGCCTACTAAAATTTTCGCTACATATACACCAAGAGTCGATGGTTTTCGAATATTATACGATCTTCGCCCCCTCCCACCATGTGCTCATATGTTTGAGAGATAACAAACCAACACTTCGATCCCACCATAGATACGTTTGAGATATAAACCAACACTTTGATCCCACTCTAGATCTTAGGTTTGTTACTCACATTTAAGGAAGCAGCCCCAACTGCCCAACTATCAAACAAATACTATCCTCCGTTCTCTTTTAATCGCAACATTGGACTTTTTGCACTATTCACATATTCTACTTTAACTATATTTTATTCATTAATATATTATAAATTAATTTTTTTAAAAATATTATTAAATTCTTCTCATTCTAAATTTTCAAAATACGATTTTTTTTAAATTTTTACTAATAAGGAATGAAAGATATTAATGGTCAAACGTGTGCATTGGCAAACGTGAAATGTTGACTGTTGCAATTAAAAAGGAACGGAGGAAGTATATAGGAAGATGACATATAATATAATAAAGAGATATTATCCGAAATAGAACTAAAAAGGTTTGAAAATTCCAAAATAGGACTGTCATGTTTTTTATTCCCAAAATAGGACTAATTATTGTCATGTTTTGGCAGTTCCAGACTTCAAACATGACAGTATTTTCCAAACTTGACAGTAATTACTCATATTTTGGGAATTTAAAACATGTCAGTTCTATTTTGGAATTATCAAACTGTTTTAGTCCTATTTTGGGAACTTTCCCTATAATAAATGAAGTTTAATTTCGTATTAACTACCCCTTAATTATACCACAAAGTGTAATAACGACATACAAAAACAGCGCATGATATGACAAAATTAGGGTGCTAATCGGGCGAGTTGAACTCGAGTTCATCTGAGATCAAGTCGTGCTTGATAAAGAAAAAACGAGTTTGAATTCGAGTCGAGTTCGAATAATAGTCGAGAATGAGTCCTAGTCAGACACAGAAGTTCATTAGTATCTGTGATACGTACAGTTTAATAAAGATTATGATGAGCTTGGTTTTTAACAACACCATTATAAAAATAGCAACTCTTGATGTATACCTTTTTGTACACTTTTCATATATACACCTTATTTGTACAAAAATAACTTCCAAAAAAATTAAATTTTTAGATGAATTGTTTATATAGTATGTACAAGTAAAATAGGAATGAATAAAAATGTAGAAATCCAATTTTCCTTATAAAAAGTTATCACCATCCCCTATTGAGTGCCAATACAGTTCCCACTATAAAATCTGATTTATAGAGAGTGAAGTTTGACATACTATTTATGAGTAACACTTTCAAAGATTGCAAGGGGTATAATTGTGACATGCTTAGAAACGTGCATGTTACGCAAGGTTCTATTCAGATACAGTGACGAAGTCGGATATGACAGGTTATGGGGATCGGAACTTAAGGAATTTATATTGAAGGACATAAAGTTTAAAATTTCACTATAATTTTTACTTATAAATATTTATAAGTACACATAGTCATATATACATCAGATTTTTTTTGGGAAGCCGAGGCCCCACCAGCCTCCCCTGATCACATTCACAATGTAACCCAACGATCGGTTGTCCAAGCTGGCTTGATCAAGATTCAAGAGTTCAAGGCAAATTTAAACAATTCTGTAGATTACTATTTGATGAGTCATAATTGGGATTGCAATTAAACCCTTAGTAACGATTGTGGTAAAGCCTCATATCTGACATTTAATGAAAAGAAACAAGTTTATACTCCCTGTGATCTTTGGTTGAACTAGTATTATTTTATTCAATTAGGGAGTATTTTATTTTCAAGTTAAATAAAAACTCCAGTGCAATATATCTTTAGCGAGAAAAACCTTTTGTACACGAAATACAGACACATACGTTTTTACACTTGTCTGTGAAGGCTATTTTTTGTCTATGATAACACTGTGCACAGAAAACACTGTTGATTTGTCTGTGCACAGTGTTTTCAAAGACAAAAAATAATCTTACAGGGAAATGTAAAAACCTTTATGTTTGTATTTCATGTACAATAAGAATTTCTCATCTTTAGCTCACCGTTGATTTGACTGACTGACTCGAATTAGAATTGTGCTACTCAAATCTGATTCTTGCAAATGGGTATGGAATGGATGATCCAACGCCCATTCATTTATGTCCACCCCTATTTCTAGGCGGAACTAGCTCCCCCACATGCACGTGCATCATGTTTTTAATTCGGTTACGTACAACACCTATTTCTGTTGCCATGAGATTCTCCCATGTTCCCATACATAAAAAAATGCATTACATCCCATTCCAACTTCCAAATTTCTCGTAAATGATGCGGTTTTTAAGAAAAATGAGTTTAATTATGTGGTTGCTATTGAAGTCATAAAGTAAGGATAAAAAAAAGAATGATTTGAAACCGCACAAAAGTTACCGAATTTGGTATGAGACTATCTTAGCAAGACAGATCGAAAAAGAAAGAAACGACAATCTTCACGAGATAGAGAGAGTATTTTCTTTCTTATCATTTTATGTTAGCAACCGATTTTGCTGACTATTGAACTCTAAAATCCACCCCAAACTTTTGAAAAAGTAAATATTTAAGTCGTTTAACAATCTGTTAGATTTTCACCGTCATTTATATGCACCATCACATATAGGAAATCTCTCTGATTGATTGCACATGTCCTTCGGTTTTCAGCAGGTATTACCTCACGAATTTTGGGAGAACCAATTGATCAAGCACCACCAGGTTCCCAATAAAAAGCTAACTCCTATACACGAATCGTTGATAGCGTGATCACTCGAGCTAATCCGTGATTAGAGAATTATCATTTGACAAAAATTAGACAAACTTGTGAAACTAACCTCATTCGTGACTTGAATACAAAACTTCTTCCGAGGGAATCATATACAGACGTAGTACTATTTTGTAATTGTCTACTCAATTCTTTCAAAAAAAATCACGTGACTAATATTATTATAAATCCAAACTACACAATTTCGTTAATTATATTAAGCATACCAAAACCAATGGGAAGCCTAATGGAGCGGAGGGAGTAAAACTTTCAACGTACCTGAATTTGATCACCGATGTTGACAATGAAAGCGTGCCTAGCTGGTTTGACGGTGCTCCATTCGCCGTTTTGCCGGACTTGGAGGCCGGAGACTTGCTGGTCCGGCAAGAGAATAGTCAGCCCACCCGGATCCGAATGAGCCGAGAGTCCAAGGGTTAGGCCAGGTGAGGGGCATTTTGGGTAAAAGTTGGCTCTTAGACAACTTCCAATATTTTCACCCCCAAAGGCATCTTGTAAAACTTCTTCCTTTAGTCCTAGGTTTCTCGACAATATTTTCATCAACTCCCCACACAATTTCACCATTTGTTCCGAGTACTCTTCAATTACTTCCCTACAAAATTTTGACAATAAAGTAAAATTATTAATGATGAGTATAATACTTAAATTAATGTTTGCCGAGGAGCGACGTACTACCAAAAAATATAACCGGATTGACACAAATCTCTAGCAGGGATTTATCAAAATATATACTCCCTCCATCCCATAATTATCTTCATTCTTTCCTTTTTGGTCCGTCCCAAATTTATCTCCTCTTTCCTTTTTTAGCAAAGGATTTGTGGTTCACAACCATTCTTACACATTTCTCTCTCCTCTGCACAACTCTCCAGTCTCCACCACACATTTTCCACTTTCTTAATCTCCGTGCCCAGTCAAAACCGAAGTTAATTCTGGGACGGAGGGAGTAGCAAATATGACATGGATACGCCAAATCCGTGTCAACGCCATTTTGTCACGATCGAGCTATTTCACACGAAGTCGTCATAAATCCGTTTGGTATTGCAGTCAATTTTCACGAAAAAGAAAGGATAAAAATAGATCACACTTAAATAGACCTGTGAGACCAGAGAAGACCAGACTTCGACTCTTGTAGAATGTACATGGAACAGACGTCCACCAGATCCAATCGACCAGATCAAACAACTAAATTTGAGTCCAAATAATTAAAAACATTCTTAATCAGACTTTGCACGTTGAGAACTTGAAAACTTACTTAGCTACTGACAATTTACTATCTAAGGTTAGGGCTTGTTTTTGACATTTCACATTTGGTAGATTTTCGTACATAATGTAATGTTAATCTGTCACATAATCTATTGATGTGTCACTAGCTACTCACTAGCTAGCAAAAGTGTGATATAACTCATATAAGTATCATATTATCGTATTTCAAAACCAAAAGTATAATAGATAGTATTTTCGTAGTAACTATGTATAATTGGCGGCCATGTACAAAAAATCAGCAAGAAAATTTCCAATGCATGGATGCCTTGGATGGTTGCATCCATTGGTGGTCGAATGTATTTTTCGTTAACTCATACTCCGTATTAAGTATTACATCATCTACTTGTAACATGCCATTTTAAAAAATGTGACAAAATATAATTTTATCCGTGTACAATGTTGATATTGTGTATGGTACAACTTTTATAGGTTAGGGTATTTGATCAAATTGTTAGAGTTTACAGTAACATCGTTATGACCCATCTGAAAGAGTTAGAGACTATTGAGACAAACAAAGCCACATACATAATAAAGCTTACCTATTTTGTTTTATTGGTCTTATATTTGCTTGGATCATAGTGCTTATTTTTATTACTAGTTTTACTACGCGCGATGCGCGAGAGGAAAATGCTCAATGCTATTTTCGTAAGAGTAACATAATGAAATGTTATTGGTTATTACTCGGTATAATTTAGTTGTTGAGTAAATTAATACTCATCCGATTGTTTTTTTATAAGCAGACGTATCTATATGACACTTTACTGAGTACATGGCCTTAATTATGTGACGATTTCATAATATATAGTAGAAGGCCTTATTTGCCCGATTTCATAATACATAATTTTTTCTATTACAAGAATTGTTAAAAAGAAATGAGATTTTTAATTTCTTTGTCAAAAAAACAAGATGGCTCCCATTACAACCCATACGAACATAATACTACGTATCAATTCAACGATGTAAAGAGTCCAAGAAAGTGTAATGTGAATCTAGAACAATGTCTCATTTTGAAACATGAATCCAATAGCCCAAAATATGTAATCCCTCCGCCCCCTTTTGTCTTGTTTTTCTTTTTTGTCTGTCACATTAAATTTGTCTCGTATCATATTTTGATATATTCATGTGGTTACAATTCATTCTTAATTTGTTCACACTTTATCAAGTTGATACCAACCACACAATTTCACTTTTTCTTAAAATTGTGTCACACCCTCTTGTCCCAAACATATATAATGAGACGGAGGTAATTATAGTAATTAAGATAGATGTCCAATAACGAATTAGGATTGAGCACAATACCAGTGCTAATGAAATGGGTTAATTTGCCTCTCTAATAACATATGAGGTAAAATATTACCACAAAGATAGAGATCGACGTGGGCGGCGGGGATGATAATTTACATATATATGTTGTTCATAATTATCAAATATGTGTACACACACATGTAAGGAAGTACCAAATCAAACTTTAGTCTGAGTAATGACATTATCATACATACACTTATGTTTCTATCTAAATCAAATCAAGGCATATTATTGTGGTGAATTCGGGACATTTTGAATGAAATTGATTACATGGCCTAGTGACATTATTGAAACTGGATTTATCTTAGTTTAGTACTTTAGGTGCAATAATGCATTTTCTTTATAAAGTCCACCATGCCGTATGACCGTATCGAACTATCGACGACAAAAAGGGGGTTTTCGCCATGGCGTTACCTAAGGTTATTCTAATTCTTATTTCTAAAATGAAAATCAGCCAATAGAAATGTTTATTATTGGGTATCATTTTTAAATATGTTTGCATGTACACCTATATATGAAATCTCTTAAATAAACCAAATTGCAAGTCTTGTGACCCTTATTGGCATGACAAAGTCGGAATTTTAGGTATTAGACTAATGTTGGTTATTAAAATTGGTCATTTCATCCTTCAAAAAAAGTGGTCATTTCAATTTACGTCATCATCATGTGAATTTTTCCCTGCTAAAGGGTGTTTGGATCTGATTCTTAAAACTGCTTCTGCTCCTTCAGAGAGCAGAATCAGAAGCTGGAGTGTTTGGGTGAAAGTGCAGAAGTGATTCTGGTGCTCTAATTTACTCCTAGAATAAGTTTTTTTAGAAGCTGGGGGTGACCAGCTTTTGAAAACTGATTCTGATTCTGCTTCTGCTTTAAAAAAAGAAGCTGAATAAGAATTAGTTCCAAACACCCCTTAAGTATGAGTTTAATTTTCGTAGCTCCCATCCATGTGAAGTTTTAAAATAAGAAGGTTTAACGTGAAATCAATATAATTATGTTTTGGCCACTTAACCCACCTTCAGTCTGAAATTAGAGGAAGTATGATGACATTCAAAACGTGATACAAGGTTATCAATTAGAGATTAAGCATTTAATCATATTAATAATTCATAGGTAGTATATATTTCATCTTTTCCATAATCATATATTGACTTATTGAGGATATACAAACACGTAGTTTGGGTGAGAAGAGAGGCACCAGTTCATAATTTGTTCAATTTTTGAAGCTAATTCTTCACCTTTAAAATGAAGAGAGAAATTTACACAATAAGGAAACAAAACTATGAATGAAATAAAACTCATGTAGCGTACTATACATTGCTTCATAGAGTAGGTCTGGCGTACCAGCTGCCTTGAAGGGCTTGGAAGGAAAAAAGATGGAGATAGGAATAACGGGGTAAGGATTACTAACGGAAGGATGCCAACCGCTACTTCGAAGGTATAAATTAATGAAATAGAGTACAATGCTTTAATCAGATGGTACATACTCATCTAGCTCTGCCATTACACCAACACATTTTTTGTACCAACACATCTTTTGGGGCCCTTTATGGAGGAATTTTTTTTTGAAACTTTTTTAGAGTAAATTACATTCACAAAATTTTAGTTTAAAAATCAACCGGGAAGTCAGTTAAATAAAATATTGAAACACACTGCGCTTTGTGTATATAAATAATGCGCACTATCTTTCAATAATTTATTTAACTGACTTTCAGGTTGAGTTTTAATCTGAAACTTTGTGGAGATATTAAAGATTTCATGAAGAATATATTTTAAAATTTTCATGAAAAAATTCTATCGGGAAGGGCCTCAAATGGCCCCGGTCTGACATCATTTCCCGTTAGGCAGGCCTAATTTCAAGGTTTCATCTTTGGTCTTTAATTCGTTTTGCTCAGCAATCAACACTCTCCTAATTTTCTCAAAAATATCTTCCAAATTTGAAATTTCAATTTCACAAGTAATTCTCTGGTTTTAGTTTTTATTTTTTAATATAATTTTTATTCGTATAGTTTATATATTAAGAATTTGATGAAAGACTTACATTACTTTGTATGTTGAAATTTGCGTATATAAAGTTAAGCTTTTGCAATATATTTATATAACTTTTTAAGGGCCTTCTTTTTTCAATCGCCCCGGGCCCATAAAATATCAGACCGGCCCTGGCTCCACCGTTTCGTTTCAACTTTCAACCACATTTGAAACCTAATAATGACCGCATTGCGAAATAGAGCGATGAGGTTAGGAATGCCATTTCAATGTGCAAGATGAATTAACTTTCATCTTAAAGCCAAAAAACACGTGCCAATATTGCAACATTTATGTAATGCTACAACAAAAAATATCTTGCGTTATTATAACATAAATAAATTACATCTTGCACTAATAACATAGTTCTAAATAATGCATACTACTCCATATTTTAAACTACATACTAAATACTGGAATACTTCACAGGGTATGTGTAACAAAGCACATACCAACAGAATTATACATATATATGTCTAAGGTGAAATTAATTATACATATTTAATTAAGTTGATTATTAAATATTAAGCAGCAGAATTTGATGATGATTCTTGTAGTTGTGATTTGCCTTTGAGACCCTTGGACCTCATGTAAAGTCGGTATTCAGCGTAGGTCATCGGCGGATACGATGCTGGATTTTCGGGGGGTCACTATTTCCTCCACCGGTTTTATCACCAAATCGCTCTTGGGATTGTAAAAATAGGCCAAAGATACACGTTCTTCCTCAGAATTCACAATTAGGGCTGGGGAAAAATGCCGAAATACCGAAATACCGTATTTACCATACCGAAAAAAACCGAAATTACCGAAAATTTCGGTATACCGAAAACTTCGGTACGGTATGGTATCATACCGAACTGTTACGGTACGGTATCGGTATGTAGGTTTCAAATTTTCGGTATTTCGGTATATACCGAAATACCGTATGTATAAAAGATTTTATACATAATGTATGTCTCTTGGACTCGAAGCAGCCCATCTAAGCAGCCCATACATCCTTCGTTC